GAAGAAAAGCCTGTACTGCAATACCACAAATGACCTTTCAGAATATGCGCCACCTACTTAGCACATGGATCCTTACCATCAGGAACATCAACGAGACCGATTATGCCCAAAAATGTTGGATTCAACAATCTTGCTAATGTCTATTTGAATTGCGATCGTAACAACGTAATGGTGCCCAACGCCCTAATAGCACAACCATATCTTAAAGTCGTTTTAAGATATTGAAGACGTCGTAAAGACGTCTCGTGAACGCTGCAGGACATCTTAAAGACGCTGTAAAGACGACCTTTGTAATACGTTCATAAGCTATCTACTGTGGCATTAGAGAATTATACAAGACAGGCGATTTTTAAAAAAAGCGTTTTTGTAAAAGGGGCAGGTAGCATAATTTATCCAGGGTTATTATTAGATATATGACGTCACATACAAAACAATCTCAAATAATTAAGAAGTATAACCTTAGCTGTTGTTGCACCAGGCCAGTATACGATTTCACTTAAGGTTGCACACTATATGGGCACAAATTAATCAAGAACCCTCTATAGAACGAACCAAATTGAGCAAACATTTCACTTGCCGTGGTGGTCAAAACCACGTAGTTCGTTTCTACGGCAAACAGGTGAAAAACCATAGGTAGGCAAGAACTTTTCCCGCGTACGCTACGCCCTACGCATAAGAAAGCACTGACACAAATGACAAATGGCATTGACAGATGCCCGAGCTAGAGATGTTTCAGAGGTAAGTATGGAGATGTGCTCGTCTTAATCGAAGCATCGCCATCTGGTGGCGAATTGATGAGCTAAAACAGGATGATGCAATAGATTTTGAAAGTTAATAGATTCCAGAGAAACACAATTGGTGTGAGAACTTCAACGACTTGTCCTTTCGCATAGTTTAAAATAATGAAATTCGTTGAGAAATACATGAATCGTGAAGCAGTGATATATATTTTCAATCGCGTTTGGGTAAACGAAAACATGTATGCATATTTATTTAGATGTTTCTTATATGTTCACTAATATTTCTAACCTTCTAAGAAGCTGTATTTTGAGAATCTTGACCACGTTTTCTAAAAAGTATAAAAAAAACGTCTTACAGACGTTTGTTTTATGTCGTGTCAGGGTGGCCTTAAAAACGCACTAAGAACATCTTAAAACGTTTTTTCGAAGTCTCAGACGTTCAGACATTATTAGTGCATAAAATGGACGTCTTTAAGACGTTCTGTGCTATCTGGTAGGAGCTTGGTGTATTTAGAATTCTTGGTAGTCAAAAAGTACGGCTATTTGGCCTAACAATACTAAAACGAATAAAAGATGTCACAGGGATTAATCAAATTTATATCCACTAAACAACAAAATAAATTGTCGGGTTCATATTCGTCGCAACGCGCTTTATTACCTTTATATGAAGAGCTGCGCTTAATTTGGAGTCATATCACGTACAACATGCATTGACCACGTGTCATTAATGGGAGTTTTATGCATATTTTCTACGTTTGTATTGGGAAATACCAATGTTCCGAATAGGATATCTACGGATTTGATACTCGGCTTCACTTTTAAGCTACTTAATTTGACTTGCAGTCAAGTCAAGGTTTGAGAAAATGTACATCAAGTCAAGAAGTTCTTCGATCAGTATTTGGAAGTTGAGAAATTTTGTAATATAAATACGAGTAGATTATAAATAGATAACGGAACGACTTTGTGTCAAGTTACAGAGAAAACAATACATATCGAACAAAATATGTTGTTCTTCGTATAACAAATAAAAGAACGACAAAGATGTAAGCTCAAATAGAGAAAAAAAAATGTAAGCCGATACAAAGAAACAGAATTTCGAATTAGCTTTGCATTTTATGGAAAACTAGTTGATCGGATTGAGGCTGACAAGTGCTCTTTTGTGATCTCAGCAGTGCACTTGACTACGTCAATGACGAAATATCAAAAAAACTAAATGATTACGGAGTTACTGGCAGTTCTCACACATGAATCAAGTATTTTTTGGAAACAGGCCATAATATGTTTCTTTATTACACAATTATGTTACAAAAATAAAGCAAGTCCGGTCTTCATGCTTCGATATTGGTATGAGAGTTTCCCAAGGATCTACAATGCTGTAATCAGTTCATTAAGGGCCAAGTTGATTGGCCCAAGCATGCATAATAACAAAACCAAATGGATCAAGTCAGCCAAACAGGTCCATATACAATTAGTACATATTTAATAATCCCCACCCATTTGATAATGATAACGCTAGTTTCTTCCCTGACCTAGGTATCGACAATCTGCTGGACCTCACCAGTCAAACATGCAATAAACACCTACGATACTGACGGGGATGCTGTTAGACGCAAGAAAGGCTCGGCATACGAAACTCGCGGTTCAAGGGTCTCGTTTATATTTCTATAAGTTACGAGTATAAGGGCAAATGTACTTAAAAATCTCTGATGTGTGAATTATGTACTGATATGTATGTAAAATTGCTGGGTTTGAGAGCGTATTCATACATTGCCGCCAACCACCCCTACAAGCCCCAACCCTCGATTTTCAATCCCTACAAAAGTTAGTCTGAAGATGGTCAGGAGCTTCTGAAACGCCAAAGAACGAGATTTAATCCATATTTATGTTCCTCGCGTTATGGCTCCTAGCTCCACGGCCGTTGGACCGATTTCGAAAACTACACAGCCTTCCCATCCTTCACATAGTAGTGCAAACATTTCATCCAAATCCGAGCAGTACTTTCCACGTTATAGGCGGTAGAAAGATTAGCGGATAGACCGACATATTGACAGATCGACAGAAATGAGTGATATGGTTCTTCGGGATGTTTTTTTATACTCTACCCATCATGAAACCCTAATGCCTTAAACACTCATAGGGTACCGTGGGGCTTAGGGGCAAGGAGGGGGGCTCCACACGGACTCTAGCGAGGGAATACGTGTGCATGCAACAGCGCATTAGACATCCGCCGGGTGGTACCTCCGTGTTCGACAGACAGAGACAGAGAGGTCTTAACAACATTTTTTCGGAATTGTGATATAGATACAGATTTAGTATGATAATTCCACCCTCTAAGTGTCAATGTCCCTTGATAAGAGTCCCATCTACAAAAGATCGCGAACAACTGTTTCTAGCGGACACCTTCTTCACAACTTCGAATCCCTCACTAGTAGTACCATCAATATTGGTTAATAGTTCCGTATAGTATTTTAGACTTTCGTTAACTCCATCCATCAGGCGTTCGAAGTACTTGATCTGGACAGATAAAATGTTGAATTCGCTATCGGCTTTTTCGGACTTTAGTTGCAGGTAATATTTCCGGACTTCGTTTGTAACATCAGTTAACTTTCAACGATTCTCTTATGTAGAAAGTACTTTGGCTCTGTACTCCTAGATCTCTATCTGCTCTCCCTCTAGCTGACCGTTGAGCGGCTCGACGTGCATGTCAAATTCCTCTAGAAAGTCGACAACCTGCTCGCCCGCACTCACTATGAGAATTTTCGTGAATCTGAGTGGCTTCCTGCATCACACTCCCGCTGCCGCAGCTGCCAACATTTGAGCACGATCACCGCTAGCATCGATGTAGTGACCACTAAAGGAAATACACTGAATGACATAGAAACTGCAACACCGACTAGGAGTGCTGTGATTTTGAGCATATTTTTACAAGTTGTAGATCTATTAGTAAGCGACTAAGATTTTAAGTAGAACTTTCGCAAAATAGCTGAAATATCTCGCCTTAATTTTCATAATTTGTTGAAGCTAACTACACATTCTTGAAGTCGTCGCGGCATTGATTTGCTTGTAAAATAACAAAATCGGTACAGGTACGTATCGTGTACAACACCGTGTACGTGATATACAGACAAAACTAGATTGACATGCATGAACAGTCATCAAAAACAGTGAAAACATCCTACCAAATATAATAGCTAGAAAATCGACCTATTATTTGCCGCATTCTCATTGGTCCCACTTGAATAACTGATCGTCTTTTCTGAAATGATTTCAAATTCTATGAAAGTTATCGTAATTCTGAAGCACAAATACATAACATTACATCTATAATATACCCTTACTTATAAGGCAACCGTTTTATCACGACTTTATTCAGCATTTCAATAGACATCACTGATATTCAGAGAGTTTTGACAGCTTCTGTCAAATATGCATTTCGATAAGGTCTTTTCCTATTAGTCCAACTGACCGTCAAATATTAGTGTTGGTGAAATTGGCCCTTAGTATAATACCAACAACGTATCTCCGTTCAATTTTATCAGACAGAATTATAATATTCTTGGGAATGAAACGACAAATGAAATGGCAATAAGGTGAGAAGGCTTACAATTCTTCCTCGCCAGCAGGCGTGGGAAGTAAGGCATCCATGGCTACCGTCTTCCTTTGCTTTATCAGATTCCTTTTGCACCGTAGGCGACTGGCATGGCGGTGCAAATAATTCATCAGGATGCATCCGTCAATTATCTCGGTTGAACCGGCGAAATATCAGAGTTAGCCAATTTCGCAGGAAGGGTGGCTTGTACTGACGTTCGGTTGTTATGCCTTTGAAGGGACGCTTTGATAGGAATCGAAGCGCATAACATCGGTATTTGATAATTAAGCATTGGGGGAAGACTGAGCGACACAAGGGATGAGACGATAGGCGTTAAAATTGTATGGGGGAGGAACAATTGATACGAAAGGCGCGAAACGTTTCCATTCTAGAAGATTGTCGGGTTATGAAGGGTTGCATAAATAACAACGCAATATTTGAATTACGAGCCATTTTAGCAGTTATTTCGTAGTGATTGTGACATGACAGATCGATAGTTCGAGGGATGTCTTTTAAGTTTTGCATATAGAAACTTAGTAGGCCGCGCAGATCGCACGTCAGTACTGAATCTGAACTTCACTCTTTAGTAAACTTAAATTCAAAGTTTCACAACGATACGTGCAGTGTTCTCACTACAGTGAATTTTTAAGTGTCACCAAGTCATTAGAAAAATGGAACTCAACCGAGAACATTTTCGCGCCATAATTTATTACAACTTTCAGAGACAATTATCGCAACAAGAATGCCTTGCTGAGTTACTGTCAGTTTTCGGCAACGAAGCGCCACATCAGTCGACAATCTCCCGTTGGTACGGAGAATTCAAACGTGGACGGGTGAGTCTTAGCGACGATCCCAGGGTGGGTGCACCAAAAACGGCAGTCACCCAGGAAAACGTCGATGCTGTGCGCAAACTCATCATTGAAGATAGACATGTGACACATCGCGAGATTGAGGCGTCCTTAAAGATCTCAAAGACCTCAATTCAAACAATTTTACATGAATAATTAGGAGTAAGGAAATTAGTTTCTCGTTGGATACCCCACCTGTTCACTGAAGAGCAGAAAGCAGCCAGGGTTAATCGGTGTCAAAAAATACTCGACGGTTTCAATTCCGGAAACTCAAAAAATGTGTACAGCATTGTTAGTGCCGATGAATCGGGGATTTACTGTTATGAACCAGAAAATAAACGACAGTCGGCTGTTTGGGTGTTCCAAGGTGAAGAAAAGACAACAAAAGTCACCGTTCTCGAAATGTTTCGAAACAGATGGTCGCGACATTTGTGTCAAAAGCGGGTCATATTGCAACCATTTCTCTTAATGAGCAAAGAACTGTTACTGCGGATTGGTATACCACCATTTGTTTGCCAAAAGTCATCACCGAGCTTCGAAAAATCAACCCCGAAAGAAGAATCATCCTCCACCAAGACAATGCAGGCTCGCACACAGACCAAAAAACAAGGCAGTATTTAACGGAAGAAAACATGGAATTATTGGACCATCCTCCATATAGTTCCGATCTAAGTCCTAACGATTTCTTTACTTTCCCGATAATTAAAAACAGAATGCGTGGTCAAAGGTTCCAGTCACCAGAAGAAGCAGTTGACGCATTCAGAAATGCCGTTTTGGATCTGCCAGCAAAGGAGTGGAACACGTACTTCGAAAATTGGTTCGAGCGCATGCAGATGTTTATTAATGTTCGTGGAGAAGACTTCGAAAGGCAATAAAGTCATTTAAAACTACCTACCGTGTTGTTTTATTTCCATATACAAAAATTAAAAGACATCCCTCGTAGACAGGCAGGAGTTGATTAAGATGAAACATTACACAGTCACTCTAATCTTAGTTGCTAAAAATTATTACCAAATTGGTGACAGTTTAATTGCCGCAATTTGAAAAGTGCATCTATTCCGTCGGAATAATGTCCTACCCCTAAGAATGCACACGTGTTCCCTTGCCAGAGTCCGTGTGGCGGAACCGTGACCTCGATTCGTCATTGTGGTCAAGAATTGGACATTAAAAATCATTTTTAGCGATAAGGTACATTTTCACTTCGATGACTTCGTTAATAGGCAAAAATGCCGCATTTGGGGTACAGAGAATTCAAGAGTAATTCATGAGAAAGCTATGCATTCAAATCGTGTCACTGGTGTGCACTATGGTCTAGGTCTAGAGGAATTATAGGACCGTTTTTCTTTTGAGGACGAGGCAGCTGATCCACTAACAGTGAATGGCGAACGTTATCATACAATGATTACACAGTTTCTTGAGACGTAATTAGAAGCCATGGTTCTTGATGATAGGGTTTTAGCAGGATGGCACCACATGCCATACTGCTCATGAAATATTGGCAGTTTTGGCCGACCTTGCACCTGGTCGAGTTATCTCCCGGATTAGTGACCATAATTGATCGCCACGCTCTTGCGATATAACACCTTTGGAACTTGGATTTAGGGATACCTGAAGTCACAAGTGTGTGCCAACAAGCCTCCACCGAAGCATTGAAAGCTGAAAATCAGACGCTGTATCAACGAGATACCACGACGTGTATTCAAAAATGTTATCACAAATATTATTAAAAGAGCGGCGGAGCCGTGGCAGCCATTTATATAATATTTCAGTTATTTGTTATGAAATACCGTGTTCTGTAGAAACCTTGAAGTATTGCGTACTTATTGAAACACGCTTTAACATATATAGCGCACGTTTTTCCTCTACTATTTGCTGTGTTCTCCTAATTTTAGATCATTGTCAAATACTCGTTCACACCCGCACATAGTGACGCAGGGGCTGAGGCCTTCGCATTCAAACTATACCGAATGTCATTAAAGTTGGGACTTTCAATAACACGGCATATAAATCTTTGAAAAATTAGCAGTTCTTTCTAGTAACATATTTATAGGCTCCACAAAATAAATAAAACCTAAACAAAACCTGATCCGGTTCTGCAACTCAAGTCACGTACGGTGCGCATCAGTACTCACTCTAGGCGCTGGTCGCGTTGCTAAACAAAACCTTTACACATCGGTTCTAAAAAAGCAAAACAAAAATGACAGCAATATCGGAGTTTTCCATGTTATTTTAATTTACGGAGAGTGTCTTTGAAATGCTACCGAGACTTCGCGGGTGCATGCAGATCGTTTTTCGAGATCCTCCGTGATTTATTTTTTGTGACTGTCTGTAAATCTATCGCAAAAAGCTTTGAACATAATTGCTGCACTTGAAATTTCTTTCCACAAACGGTAGATAGCTACTTTCTAACTTTATTTTTGTTTACTTTTCCGCTGTATCGTTTCACGACACATAAATTTTGTTATTACAAATTTAATAAAATATAATAAAAAACCTTTCCCACATCATGATGTATAAAACGATACGAGCCATCTAGAAAATCATTGCGTTTGCAACCTCCAAGGGAAATTCTATTCTCAGAACGAGGGATGCGTTACAGAAGGTCACGGAAACTGAAAATGTGCATATAAATCAATTTGTTTATATAGGTACATATTGGGACCTCGGTTGGCCGCGTGGGTCAGAGTGTCGTGCTACTGATCAGCCGGCCGGCCGGGCCGCGAGTTCGAATCTCGCCTTCGCCATGGATGTTGTGTGTTTGTTTTAGGCAGCAGCGGTGGCCGCAGTAGTAGACTCTTCGGTCTCCTGATCAGCCGCCGTGCGCTGTGCGGGTTCGAGTCCCGTCCCAGGAGAAATGTTTCTCTTGGCCATGGATGTTGTGATTGTCCGTAGGTGGTAGATGGTCTCTGACTGTCGAACGTGGAGGTACCACCCGGCGGTTCTCGTAGGCGGAGCCAGAATGTGTGCATGTTGCATGCACACGTGTTCCCTCGCCAGAGTCCGTGTGGCGTCCCCCCTTTCCCATGTATCCCCCATAGCCCCACGGTACCCAATGGGTGCTTAGGCCTTAGGCCTTCGTGGTAGTTGGAGTATAAAAAAAAAAAAAAAAAAAAAAATTTGATGAAATTCTAGTTAACTAGAGGTTCAAAACATCGAATGAACTACAGCCCATACAGGTTTTCTTTCTGGTAGGGTTTTGCTGTATCTCGACTTGATATCATTTTCACGTCAAGCTCATGTTATAACTACTTCACCTGTCGAATTCTTAATCAGATTAAACAGATTCTCATTTGCTTCTTTCTGATGCAACACCACTGCACGAAGACCATCTGTCAGAAAGAAAATCATAAATCAGCTTTCTCCCGTCTCAACCTGACTGGATGCTTCGAGAAGAGCAGATAACTGGTTTTTTGTTAGTTTCCAAGTGGAAAGAACGCATAAGTTCCTGTTAATCACGTTTAAACTCCCAAACACATCATATTAGTCATTTTTCGTATACAGGGTTATCCAAATTAAGTGTCCACCATTAGTAACTTTGTTATTAGTGAAAATACAAAGTTGTTTGAATTAGCAAACTAGTAGCATTTTTAACGCTGGTAAAAATGAGAAATAAAAAAAACAATTGAGAGTCGTTATTTTGATTTTTTTCAGTAAAATAACATTTTTTTAAATGGAAACCCCTGTATATTATATTTTTTTCTGTTAAAGCATCAAATTTTAAACAAAAAGGCTTACAATAACTTTTCTCCTAGGTTACAAATTGTTGAAGTTATGGCCTCCAATCTGAAACAATTAAATTGTATCGACAAACTTTATTTTCAACATCAACTTATATCTTACAAAATACAATAACAATTTTTTTTAAAGAAGATGCTCGAAAACACCACCTTGTTCTTCAATACATTTTTGGGCACGTTTTTCAACTGCTCGAACTGTCTTAAGTATGGTCCTACCATCTATCTGGGTTATCTTTTCCCTAACTGCAGTCTTTAACGCGTCAAGGTTATCGTACCTTCGCTTGTAAATTTGGTTCTTTAAGTAACCCCACAAGAAGTAATCAAGTGGGTTTAGATCTGGTGATCTGGGAGGCCACTGTATTGGGCCATTTGTTCCTATCCACTGATCATTAAAAGTAGTACTTAGAAAATGATAAGTACCTCTGGAGTTGTGGACAGGTACGCCATCTTGCTGAAAATGCAGATGATGTCTACTTATAAGATCCAATTCGTCTAAGAAATTAGTCAGAATTTCTGACATAAATTCCACATATCTTTCACCAGTTAGGGTTCCCTCATAAAAGAACGGGCCAACAATTTTTGAACCAATTATACCGCACCAAACGTTGAAACTGAAACGGACTTGTGGGCCTCTTGGATGTACTAACAAAAGATTTTCTCTTGACCAATAATGGTGGTTTTTTCTATTAAACATTCCAGAATTTGAAAAATTTGATTCATCTGTCCATAAAAGGTAACGAAAGTTATTTACATTTTGGCGACAGAAGCTAAGATACCAATGGCAAAAAACAAGTCTTCTCTCTGGATCCCCTGCCAAAAGCGTTTGAACTGGTCGGTACTTATACGGAATAAATTTGTATTTTTTTAAAATCCTTTGAACAGTACCATAACTGAAATTAGAGTCCTTGAGAATATCTGCTATTGAATTCTCACGATAAGCTTCAAAATATCCAATAACTGCAATTTCCGTGGCCTCGCTTATTATGAATTCTTTTTTTGCCCTTGTTTTAGCAAAAACATTTTCGTTGCCCCTAAATTTTCGATAAAGTCTCAGAAAATATCGTTCATACGGTTGAATGCGAGCGGGATATAATTCACTGTAGTATTCTCTTGCTCTCAAGGAGGATTTTCTGCACACTAAATAGCATTCTAACATATCACACTTTTCTTCATGGGAGAACATTTTTCTTTAAATTAATGACACAATAAAGCTTATAAACAAGTATTTACACTAATGTTTGACATTATTTGATTTTATCATTGTTTTCCAAAGCCTTCTAGTTTCGAGTATGTCCAGTTTAACAATTTGTCGCTTATCTTAATGCTGTCAAATCGCGAACGCCATGTTGTTTTCATATCCGTCTTAATATTATAATACTGCAAATAATTAAAAATATTTATCGTTATTTTGACTTTATTTTTGACTTTAGCGGAAAAGTCATTATGAACTTTTTTGTTTAAAATTTGATGCTTTAACAGAAAAAAATATAATATACAGGGGTTTCCATTTAAAAAAATGTTATTTTACTGAAAAAAATCAAAATAACGACTCTCAATTGTTTTTTTTATTCCTCATTTTTACCAGCGTTAAAAATGCTACTAGTTTGCTAATTCAAACAACTTTGTATTTTCACTAATAACAAAGTTACTAATGGTGGACACTTAATTTGGATAACCCTGTATACCTTAGTATCTCATACTTTTGTACAAGGACCACGAAGTTAGCCCAGAAAAATCTGGGCCGTTAAAAAACGATGTGCTATACAATTTTCTATCGTTTTACCACGTTTTGCCTCCATTACTTTGAAAAATTGGAAATAATTCTGAGCTAAGTTCAAGTAGCCCGGATTTTCCAGATTATTTAAGACGATCAATACACGATTCTTCATCGGTTTAACACGTTTTTGCACCAAAAATTTAAATTTGTCCACCTTCACGTTACGACAAAAATTTCGGAAAAACAGAACCAGGAACATGAGCACACATGGATTTCCCACCGTTTTACTATGTTCTTTCAACCAATTTTTTTGTTTTTCTACCTTCGATTAACAAAAAAAATATGAAACTATTTTTCAGGGTCATATTATCCCACTCTTTTTTCCACAAAACAATTTTTTCTACCTGACTAATATATGGAG